AATATATTTGTTTTTTTTTTTTCATTTTTAAGTTCACAACGAAAACATTTCTAAACTGTTAGTTTTTGAAAATTTCCGACTATTCGTTTTTTATTAGAATTAATAAAATATTACAATTACTACATAGAGCATATACTTTCCATGTTAATGACCTGAACTATAATTAAGTTTATCTCGAATTAGAGGAGGTCAATTGACTTCAAATTTTAAAGATATTATAATTTCCTTAATGAGTATACTAAAATTTAGAATCTATGCCCATCGCACGACAACTACCCTTAATTTACTTGGTTTATTTGCATGAATAATGATCTCTCTGTATTGTTGAGGTGATTGTTTCTGTTGTAATTAATGTTATTAGTGTTGTGGGTTTTGCTATTATTGTTGAAATTTATATTAGGCTAATGATATTATAATGAGCTGCCAATAAATGTAGAGAGATGACTATTCGAACAAATACACCAACTAAATTAAGCCGACCCTGTAAATTTATCCATTTTATGTAGGTACAAATGACAAGACAAGTATGTTGTCGATCGTCGCATTTTATTCGATTGATTCTTATGAAACGTAGGTGCAGGTCTCGACGCAGCTGTGGAGGAGGCGTGTTTAGAGAGTAAAGACAGGATATCTTCCGTTTGTAAGAACGAGAAAAACGATATGCCTTTAGTGTGCATTATTCATTGGGGACTTTGCCTTCTTATTTCGACTGTACTATAGCAGGGTGTGGTTGAGCTAACTTATGCAAATAACTTTGCACTGCTTTATTAGAGTGCAGCGAATACTCATCTGTAAATAAAATTCACTGAACTTGCAGAAGAAGTTACATACCTACAATACAGTACTGAGTGGAAAAGGACATAAAAAGGATATAAATGCTATCAGAAAACGGAGCAATTGCATGAACGAAGTAACTTCCGCCATATTTCTACCCTGTTAAAGAAATTATTAAAGCATATGTACGTGTAACACACGTAGACCCTATTTTATTTAATAGGGCAGTTTTTTAATGTTCAACACAAACTGATTGATTTACACGCACCAATAGAAAATAGGCCCTTTCAAAGATATTTTACTACAAAAATAGTGCTCCAAAACAAAAATTTTATTTACCTAAATCAAAAAAAATATTATTATTACAGTATATATTTTGTTCGATTATCGTAACGTGCCTATCACGTTGAGGTGAGCTACGCCGGGATTAGTTTCAGCAAGTTGATATCCATATTTTTAAATGGACCTTGTTGGAGCATACGTAATCCTCAAATGTAGCATCGTACTACAGATGGCGCTCACCACGCCATTTGTGGTATTTTCGAAAACGCGCTGTTAAGACAGTAGGTAAAGGTTGGTCTGTGTTCTGTCGGAGCTGCCTGCGACGCGCTAATGAGATCCAAAAAGATCGAAATCGCGATCCGCGTCTGGCAGTTTCGACAGAATACAGACCACTTCGAATTATTTTGTTAAATAATGCTAAGGTTATAAGATGATAATAATAATAGTTACAACCTTCACCAGGCTCTGATTTCTAGTCGTAGATAATGGAAAATTTAATATTCTTATGCACCATCAGATCTAGATCAAAGGTCGGGAACATTTTTACCATTTTTAAACGTTTTAGATACTTAACTGGGCATTTTGTACTTTCGATACTTCAAATGCTTCCCTTCCCTTCCCTTTCCTTTTTTAGCACTAATATGTGTTAGATCGTCATTAAGATAGATTACTTTGTTGGTAAATCATTATAGTAGGAATTAATCGATAAGTAAATTAATTGAAGTTCACTTATCAAGTTTAAAAACTAAAATTCCCCTACGTGCTCAAGAGGTCTATCTAAGTAAAATATTATGTTTCATAGAATTGTTAAGTTTTTTCTGATTTACGTGATGATAACAATACAGGTGGGTATACCTAATGCACCTAGTAAAAAATATTTTAAATTGTATCATAATACCTTGTCAACAGCGTGTAAAACGTTATTTTTAGTAATTGTTACTTCTAGGAATAAACATTTTCATGTCTGTAAAGTGTGTGCACTTGAAGATTATATTTTTAATGTTTTCACAGGAAAAAGTTGTATTTATAAAATTGAAGTAAGTGTATTGTTGTTTTGTAAAGTAGAAAGTAGTTTTTAAAAAATTCCTTATTTATTTTGAAATGGTGTTCTGGGTGGTACAAACTATTCCTGTGTCTTTTTATTTCCTTCTTACTACGTTATTGCAGAATTGGGCAAAAGTAGCCCTACTGAAAATTAGTTAGTGGATTGGATCCTATGCGAATCAGAATTGCCTGAAGATTGATCAGAAATAAATCAGGCTTTCTGATCCGGGTATGATGGAAAATCGTCACGCCGTATATGTTCAACATAGGATTCATTTGAAAAATTCATGTCGGATCCGTTTCTAAAATCCATGACGGATCCGTTTCAAAGATCCATGCTGGACCCATTCAACAGATCCATTCCCATCAAAATAATAATTTGAATAAACAAACTATTTGCTAATTAGACATAACATTACTAATAATTATTATTAATGCATTATTAATTTATTGTTAATTGTTCATTGTTTGACGAACAATATTGCATACAGAATAAATCAGGTAAAAAATAAAGTTCTGTATTATGATCCAGTTCAGAACATCGGATACAATCTTGATTTAAAGATTGTACCGAAACCGTAATAGTATTTGTAGCATTAGATTGTGATAAGAAATTGGTCAGATGACTGGATTAAGGGATAGGATACTCTACTATAATCAATTTCTGATCAGATGGTTGGATCAACAGATAGAGTACTGTGCGCTGATCAATCTCTGATCGGATGACCAGATCAAGGAATGGAGTACTGTACTCTGATCAGATCGATGGATCAACGGATAGAGTACTCTACTCTGATCAGAAACTGATCAGATGGGTGGATCAACAGATAGAGTACTGTGCGCTGATCAATTTCTGATCGGATGACCAGATCAAGGAATGGAGTACTGTACTCTTATTAGATCGATGGATCAACGGATACAGTATTCTACTCTGATCAGAAACTGATCAGATGGGTGGATCAACGGATAGAGTAGTGTACTCTGATCAGAAACAGATCAGATGCCCGTATTACGGAAAATCTGATTATAATCCGGGTTCTCTGAACTAATTTCCAGTCGGGAGTCTGTCTTCTGTCAGGATTAGCAACCTATTTGAAATTTAAGTTCGTTGTGAAAGAAAATACTTAATTTACGATTGTAAATACGGTCAATTATTTTTCATTTCCAATGCCTCATAATTAGGTACTGAAGTTAAATATTAAAATGCAAGTGACTCGATTGTATTGTTTTTTCAGGATGAAGAAGTATTTAAAATTAACGATGCTCTGTACGTTTGCGTACCTGCAGTTATGGGACTCAAAGGAAATCTAGACATGTGCCTAGCCTCACGACTCTCAACTCAAGCAAACCTGGGACATATGGAAAACAAAAGGAACGTGGTACTCATGGCTATCGGAAACATGGCGATAGTACAGGTAAATAAACAACGTTAAGTACTATACAAAGATTAAAAATAAACGCGATCATATATTGGGTATTTTTCACGTATATGCAGGGTGCATTAATCGCATCAGAAAACTTCAATATATCGACATTAGATAAATATGCTTATTTGAAGCATGCTGATAGAATCAAGTTATGATTGAAATCGTGGAGATTTATCATTAGTGGCACCTAGCGGAAAATTTATACAGATGGCGTTCACTTTACCATCTGCAGTTATTTATTGAACACTGCTTAATGATTACCGAGCGGCATGACCTAAAAGTTCAGACCATTGCTAAGTATTCGGAAAGACACAGGTTCGTGCCTCGTCTACTCTAAATTTTTCTGTGGTTTCCTTGGATCATACAGGCAAACGCTAAGCCAGTAATATTCCACATATAAAGTCTTTCACACTTTCTTCTTTCTTCATTTCGTCCGTTTCATCTTTCTCAGTCCAACCACCACCCATCCATTCTCACGATTCCTGGAAGGAGGCTGAAGAGAGTCTTCTCCCCTAAGGCAAATGGTGGGGCAGTAATATTCCACAGATAAAAAGTCTTTCACACTTTCTTCTTTCTTCATTTCGTCCGTTTCATCTTTCTCAGTCCAACCACCACCCATCCATTCTCACGATTCCTGGAAGGAGGCTGAAGAGGGTCTTCTCCCCTAAGGCAAATGCTGGGGAAGTAATATTCCACAGATAATCTTTCATTCCCTTTTGTCTTCTTCTTCTCCTAAGGCAAATACTGGGCAGTAATATATTCCACAGGTAATTTTTGACCCTCTTCTGTCTTCATTTCGTCCGTCTCATCTTTCTCACTGCAGCCAACATCTTTCCATTCCCATGATTCCTGAAAGGAAGCTGTAGAGGGACATCCATCCTATCGTCCTGCGTAGTCCAGTAGAAAGACTGTACGCCCACTAGCATTAGCAGTTGGCGAGAATAAAACACTCAAAAGTGTTTTTTAGATTTTCTATGGCAACAAGGAGGCTGATTGGTGTTCTGTCGGAGCTCATACTGAATTTTAATTTCTTTTATAGGTTCAGGCAATTGCGGCCGCAATTTTTGTAACAGGATATGCTTTACTATTGACTTTATGGATTTATAATGTACCTCTCACAGTAAATGCAATGCTTTTGGTGGCAAGTTCGGTGTGTTTAACTGCAACCCTTTCTTGCTTCATTTTAGGTAAGGCGTAGCATAGTTTATATTTTTGGCAGACAAACGTCTGCTGCTTGATATCCAACATTATCAGCAGATATTGTTCTTCTGGTGAATTGGATTGTTCATTTAATCTAGTTTCGTTACAGATTTTCTAATAGTGATGGTTGTCTACTTCAGCTTCAAATACAAAATTAATCCTGACAATATTTGCTCGCCAATTATAGCCAGTATTGGAGATGTGGTCTCGATGGGACTTTTGGCATTATTTGCAAAATTCTTTTACGAGATGCTACGTAAGTCTGCCAAACATATCAAAGTACCATCTAATCAATATAATCATGAAAATTTTAAGCGTTTAAGTAAGGTTTTTTAATAGAAGATTATTTTGTGTAATGCTTACATGAAAAGTATATCTTCTTAGCATATGTCAGAATATGATAGTTTTGAGTTCAATTGTCAACTGTTCAATATAACCATAAGTATAGCAACGATAAAAAGATAACTTCGAGCGATCACTGTAACGATAAGCGTAATGTATGTTTGACGATTGATAGTTTTCTTGGATGGAAGTATTTTAAAATGTCCTGGGCAGTAAAATGCGTGAGGGTGGATCATATTGCATTTTTTTTATACTTCAAAAACATTGACTCTATGCTAGCTCCGGATGTAAACGATGATGGCCAGACGCTCAATGTTTTTAGTGAGAAGTAGAAATCAATGAATGCAAGGTCATGGCCCACGAGATTCTGAACTATCTCTAATACTCAAACTGATGCGCGTTTGCCTATTGCGCAGCGGACCGTTCCGTTTCGTACCCTTTATTAGTGATGATGCTTTTAAGAGACATTCGCTTCTGATTAAGTTATCTCATTGGGAACAACTCTGTGGTAAATTGTATAAAATACGGCATCAACACCGCCGAGCAATTGACTGACTGAGATTTCAGAGCCTGTCAAAGTGTTACGCTGAGTTCGTACGTGAATTCTCTCCCTCGTTTTCACCCCCAACTTCACATGTATCTGAACCTATCACTTTCTTAACTTGTTTCATAATATACTTACTCTAATTTAACCTGACAGTTAATTACTTAAAGTTTAATTGTAAGATTATGATGAAGTACTCACTAAGAAATACTATTTAAAGAGTTGTAGATATCTTTTGTAATAAAATTGTTACTTGCTTCTACAGAAGAAAATCGTTATTGGATTCCTATAGCTGTTATTTCGGTTTGGGTAGTTGTACTTTTTCCTTGCTGGCTCATAATTGTACGGAAGAACCGCTTTACAAAGGATGTTCTTCTTCAAGGTTGGATACCAGTGTTTTCGGCTGTTATAATCAGCGGGTGAGTAATAACTAATAAATAAAAATTTTAATTTTAATATATTGTAATGTTCGTGGGTTCAACAAAATTAACTTCTAAGACTGATAACGACAAAAACTATTTATTTATTCTACTGTTGATTTATCATTATTCCCTTCGCTATTTATTTCACTGTTATCACTGTCAATTTATTTCTGGATTCATTTCTGCAACTGCCTCTCGGCGATCGTCTTTTTCTTTAAGTACTCTTTTGTTTCCTTTCTGGAATCCTCTAGAAACATCCGGATCGTTTAGTTTTTTTTTGAACTGTTAACTGCTTTCCCAAAACGCAGTGACGACATACACATTTACAAATACGGCGCACAATAAGATAGGCGCCCGCGGCTATTCGGCGAATCGATAAGCCGTCCACGCACACGTGTGCCCGATCGCACACAAACACGCTCGTGCTCGCTACAATATGTATCGACAGTAGGAACAAGATGTCTGAAAATGTAGTTAAAAGTGCACCACCCGTTTCTTCCAACAGTATTCCTTTTCTTTTAGTTTTTCAATTCAATTCAGAAATATTTGAATGTTTTGTTCTAGAGCCGGAGGTTTAATCTTAAATCATGCTGTTGCGGTCCATCCTGGATTTTCGTCGTTTCAACCTGTAGTGAATGGGAAGGGTGGAGATATCGTATCAATCCACACCAGTAGAATTGCAACCCTGCTTCACCAAACAGCGATTAAGGGACAGTTGCCCCCAATGACCGCGTTATGGGTTACACCGTGGGCAGCGTTATGTCATGGAAGTAAGTCAATTTGTAATCACTAAATGCAGACCTTGTAACACATGCTTCAGCTCTCAAAAGACGAGATAATAGTAGCAGCTTTTTCCTTGGAGTCTTGGCTCAGGGTAAAAAAATATTTTGGTAAGAAATTGCTAGAAAACAGAGGATGATTTAAAATAATTCGAAGTGGTCTGTATTCTGTCGAAACCGCCAGACGCGGATCGCGATTTCAATCTTTTTGGATCTCATCAGCGCGTCGCAGGCAGCTCCGACAGAACACAGACCAACTTTTACCTGGTGTCTTAACAGTGCGCTTTAGAAAATACTACAAACTATTGAAGCATACGTAATCCTAAAATATAGCATCGTGCTGCAGATGGCGTTTACTGCGCCATTTGTAGTGTTTTCTAAGAGGATGATTTGTTCTTGCAAAACTTATTCTTCATTGTACAACTTCCCAAATATAAAGGTTAATATCCTGAATATCCTAAATAATTTGCTAAAGTAGTTGTATTAGAATGACATGAATATAATCAGACCCGCAAGGTTCATGTCATTCTAAATCACCTCTACAGAGCAGCTAATTATCGTGTCTCTTTGACAGAATTATAATTTTTTGTTTGTTTCTTAGCTTTCTCAGCAAAGACAGCCCGTTTATTGATTCCGATTTCTCTCGTTGGACATACCGTTTTCGTGATCATAGTTGACCTGATTCAGAATTTAGGTCAGTTTAGGATAACAGTCGTCTTCTTCTTCGCGTACATTGTTGCAGTATTCATCCAGATATTCTTGTTGCTATACATCGCCCATTACTTGACTCATTTGCTTTGGCGTTTTAAACTTGATCCTGACACATCGGCTATTCCTTATCTAACAGCGTTGGGCGACCTGTTTGGAACATCTCTCCTGTTTGCCGCGTTTAGTTTCTGTATGTCCGTTGGTTATCCTTACACTCCAATATCATCGGATGGAGGAAACACCACCGATACTTTCCTTTAAATACTACGATAGATACATTTTGGAACGATAGAATAAATAGCAACATTTGGAGAGATAGCAAAGGTACTTGATACCAGAGTGGCTGTTTATAGAGCACCTGAATAATCGTGAAGTATTGATTTGAGATGGAGAATGGGTTGATAACAAGTGACAGAATTTCGTGTACAAAATGTTGTTAGTAGACCACAATAGCTTCTCGACTTAATTTATAGATATACATATACATACCTAGGGATAAAAACTGAATGTGATAAAATACAACAATAATAGAAAATGGTATCTACAATGTGCAATAATATTTTACTTTTTAATTTAACAAAAAGTTTTGAATATTTAGATAAGGACGTTGTACGTCCTGTGTAATGTATCAGATTATAATTTAGTTTACTAAGTATGCAATTATCTACCGTAATTTATTTTTTTACAATAAACTCTTAAAAGTTGAAATATTTAAAATGGCTTTAGCACGACTGTGCTTTATATACCTCTCCGTTAATATATGATCGCCCTGAGTTTATAATTAAATTTTGAGAAAACAGAAATTTTCATCACCCTGGCTCCTTTCTGTAACTGTGGAATTGACTTGTGTCAAAGCACTTTTAAATAGTTTCAAAATTGACGTCAGTCCTAAGACTGGTTGGACACGTACCTCCACTCTTACCTATCCTGAACTAATCTTCGCATTTCACTAAAACTAGAACAGCCCACATCCTTAACTATTTGCGAACAGTAATCTAATCTAGGTCTATCTCTACCCCTCCTAACTTCTGTTTCTGCCTGTAATATGTCTCTGACTAGACTTTCATGCCTAAGAAGGTGTCCTACCAACCTATCTCGCCTATTTTTTATTGATTTCCATAGAGTCCTCTGTTCTCCTATTCTTTCCAATACCTCTTCATTTCTAACCTTTTCTACCCACGATATCCTCATCATCCGCCTATAACACCACATTTCGAACGCTTCTAACCTTTTCTTTTCCGCCGCTCCCACTGTCCATGTTTCGCACCCGTACAACGCCGTGCTCCAAACATACACCTTTAACAACCTTTTTCGAATTTCTAAATTAACCGTTCGCGAGCATAGAAGTGACTTCTTTTTATTAAAGGCGACACGACCCTGCGCTATCCTCTGCTTTATATCCCTACTACTCCTTCCATCCTCACTTATCTGACTTCCTAGGTATCTAAAATCAGCCACTTCTTCTAATTTTTCGTCTCCTATCTTTATATTCGCTCTTTCCCTACTTTTTCTTCCCTTGCATATCAGTGTTTTAGTTTTACTTGCCCTTGCACATCTATGCCTACCGTTGTACTGTCTTTAATGAAATAATAATAATATGACAATTTTAATAATAATGACTAATAATAATGAATAATAATGAATGAACAATAATAATAAAGAATAATAATTTTACAATAATAATATGAAAATTTTTAATTAAACTTTTATTAATTATTCACTGTAATATCTCCATCGAAAGTCGTTCATACGCATATTATATATACTCATACTCTAATAATATAAATTTTCTACGTTCATTAAACAGTGCCTCACGCCATAAAAGTATATGTTTCTTAGAGAACTTCTAGTAGGTACAATACCTAATTAAAATTATAATTAATTGATTAATATTGATAAACTACGTTCGTAATAATTCCAGCGTTTTACAGCGCTACTAAAGAAATTTATTAATTATTAATTAACAAAGATTAATGGGTTCTTGCATTATATTTTTTATCGCTATTGTATTACTAATAATACAATTTTTTGTATTTACGATACAATTACCTTGACATATCACCATTATCCCAGATTTACAGCTGTCCAGTAATTATATAATTCATACCGCCATCTGGTTGCATTAATTATGCACTGTTATTGAGTTATTAGCGGACACAGATAGTGAACTCTATACTGGCTCACATTATCAACGGGATACAGAGCAGTACTGGTAGACAACAGCATAAGTAATTCAGTAAGTAACTGTTGTCATAAATAAGCGAATTTATATACTACTCCACCATGTTATACAGCAACGAATTTTATATATTTAGAAATGGGAAAAAAATCACTTTAATCTAACACTGATAGCGGATCGTATAATTTAGTTGATTAATAACCTAATAGTATAATAATAATCTTAGTCTACCTTATTATATAATTGGGAACGTAGAAAACGACAAGGAACTATCACAGGGTAAGTGAAGATGGTAAGCCGTCTCACCACCTTGCATCATCATGATCTTGAATTCGACTGCTCGATTGACCTACCAACACAATAAGTGAGTTGGTGTTAGCTTGTAGTTTTAAATAAACAATTTAGATGTATCTACTTTGCAGCAGTGACCTGATGGATACTATGTAACACAATTAATTATTAAATTATCTATGTAGCGACATCATATTAACTGACTGCATTATTTCTACCTAAATTAGTACACATATAGTAATAATTTGTACTTCAAACTCGCGTATTTAGGAAAAACTAAACTTTTATTTTGAAACTTTGTTTTATATTTCTTTGTAAAATTAAAACCACAATGGATGAAAATAGTTTTAGACAAACAGCTGCTTGGTGTACGCTATATTTTACTACGTTTACGATTGAGCGCAGTTCAACCGGTTAATTATTTTTTACGACCCAATGTTGGAGCCGGCGCAATTTAATTGTCATATGTGGATACCTTTTATTATGGACTTTGGTACGAGTAAACGTCAGGAATGAGTGGCACGTACATTTTGTAATGTCTGCATTGCGTCACGTTTTCCGCTTTGTCCTAATGGAGTTTTATTTACATGGACGTAAGAGCCCTCAATTTCTTGGCAATTTGTTTTCTTGGATCGGCCGCAATTGGTAGAGTTCGTGCATGCAGTATTGGATCCAAAAGCGGACGTGCAGAACGGGAAAGCAGCTGAAACTAAGGGCGATGCGGCCGTTTCGGCACTGCAAGCATCCCTAGAGCATCGGGATTTATCCGTCATCCCCTTCACGTACACTTTCGAATCCAATTCTGCAAATTAAGGCGTCCAGAAAGATGAGATTAAAGTCGAGAGGAAATTGCAAATGAAATTCACATTTTCAGCCAACCGCACAAAACTCCATGTAATTTTTTGAGTAGGTAATTCTTAGAACAAGATCAATGATAGCTTTACGTGGTTTACGAGGGTGGATTGATAAGTTTCCGGCCTGACCAAGAAAAACAAGGTTTTTAAAAATTTTTTTTTTTTATTTCTCAACATAATCTCCTCCAAGGCTGATACATTTCTCATAGCGGTGTTCCAGTCTATTAATGCCATCTCTATAGACTGATTCGTCAAGCTCCTCAAAATAACCATTTAC